GAAGTTTTTAAAAGGTTAAAGCAGCGCAAACGACGAGGGACGAGAGGCAGAAGGACACATACACAGAGCTGTGTTCCCACCTTTTAAAAATGCCAAACTAGCCCAAGTAGCTTCAACCTTAGCTATTCACTGGAAGTGCATTCTAAATATATCTGGACATATTTCAAAAACGTTAGCATGTGCGCAGAACCCATGTCGAGCTGAAGAAGTGCCGTTTCCTACACGCCAGTTCTTATAAATTCAGCGCACGTTTATGTCGCGATATTGCTTGGGGTGGGAACCGGGTTCCCACCCCAAGTCAACCTAACGCTCACAACGTAATCGCGAGATTCATCTCGAGGGATCATAAGAACGATTTCCAAAAGAAGGCACGCCGCGCTCGCATCACAAGCAAAGATTTGAACCTACAAGAGGAACCGCGTCAAATCTTTTTTAATGATCACCTTTCTTCTCTAAACAAAAAACTCTTCTCTGCGGCACTGCGCCTAAAGAAAGACAAGGAATGGATGCATCTGTGGACTGACCAATGTGTTATTAAAGCCAGAAAAACTAACGGGAGCTCAGTTCACAAGATCATGTCCCAGGATGATTTGAGCGTCTTTGTCTAGCTGCTAAATCTTTCTGTGTCCCTCTTCGGTTCTCACTTTTTCTTTTCCTTATGAACGTATCCTTGCTTGAACCAGACCTATTTTCCAGACAGACATCCACTTCATCAGAGTTATCGGTACTCCACCTGAACATCAGAAGCTTACGTAGTCATTATGACGATCTGATTTGCTTATTATCTACCCTAAAACATGATTTTCACTTTATCGCCCTTTCTGAAACATGGCTCAGCAATAACACGAATAACAACTTCAATATCCCTGGCTATCAGGTAATATATGGTCATCGCGAACCACAAGAAATAACGTTTCCGTCTAAATCACACGGGGGAGTTGCTCTTTACATAAAAAATACACTTACTTTCAGATTTCGAGATGACATTCATATATCATCTAATCTTTGTGAATCACTATTTATAGAAATTCCGCCAAATCCCAAATCACCTAGTGTAGTTCCCGATAAAACAAAAAGTACACTCATTGGCGTCATTTACCGTTCACCAAATAATGCAGTTGAGCACTTCTTAGGCAGCTTAAATGAAACCCTCAAAACCATTTCTCAAATTAATTCGAATGTCATCATTATGGGCGACATAAACATTGACACTTCTGCTGATTCATCCGTCACTTACAGATACCTAGATACACTAGCCGTCTACGGACTACAACAATGCATAACAACAACTACCCGCTTTAGCGACACAAAACGCAGCACTTTGGATCACATAATTACGTCTTGTCATCCAACAGACTTCAAAATTGGCACTATTGCAAGCGACATAACCGACCATGCACCCATTTTCGCTGTTTCTAATACACATAAGGTGCCGCAATCGATAACACAAACTACTCAAATATACGATTACAACTTAATAATAAATACATTAAACACGAAGTCATGGGAGAGCGTATACCAGGCGCCCACGGCAGACCTAAAACTAGACAACTTTTTAAAAACACTAAAATCTTCCATTCAATTAGGTACGAAAACCAAAACCCTATCCCGCAGATCAGTCAGAAAAAGCCCCTGGTTAACATACGGACTACAGCGATCTATCAATCACAAAAACAATATGTATAAAAAACTAAAACGCAATCCATTTAATCTACGCCTTCAATCTAAATACAAATTGTATAATGTTTGTTTAAAGAAATTAGTTAACGTAGCTAAACAACAGTATTTTTTTAGTAAACTTTCTAACGCCATTAACAATCCCAAAGAAACCTGGAAAATTATTAACTCTGCATTAAATAAGAGTACTGCCGAACAAACCGTGTCAGCCTTAAGCACCGACAGAGGCATAATTACGGACAAACAAGAAATTGCTAACACGCTCAATGACTACTTTTCAACTATCACTACAAACGTACAGTATCTTTCATGCACAAATCTATCCACTGGAACACCAAATATAGCTCGTAATGACACGACGTTTTTTCTTTACCCTGTCGATCCAGAAGAAGTTCATAATACCATTAACACGCTAAAAATACTTCGTCGTCGGGGTGCGACGGAATACAGACGATAATACTAAAAAAATGTGGTTCTATCATTGCGTACCCTTTGGCTGATATTATCAACAAAATATTCACGACCAGCTCTTACCCTGACTTACTCAAAATAGCAAAAGTGATTCCAATATTTAAAAAAGGAGACAAACTAAAACCAGAGAACTATCGACCAATCGCCTTACTTCCTGTCATTACAAAAGTGATTGAAAAACTTCTACTAAAGCGACTGAACCTGTTCTTCTCTGAAAATAATTTGATCACTCCGTCACAATATGGATTTCTTAAGGGGAAATCAACAGAACTCGCGTTATTAAATATGGTAGAGACAACAAAGCAAAATATTGAAATGAAGTTATTAACAATGGGAATCTTTGTAGACCTAACAAAAGCGTTTGACCTAATTAACCATGAACTTTTACTACAGAAATTAAGTGCTTACGGGGTTCGCGGTGTTGCTCTCAATCTAATCGAAAGTTATCTATCAAACAGATGCCAATTTGTCACTTTAGATGGCATTATTTCAACAACTAAACCTATTACCATCGGTGTTCCGCAAGGCTCAATATTAGGTCCCTTTCTTTTTTTAATATATATTAATGACCTGGCAGCCTATTTACAAAAAGATTGTGTTCTTTATGCCGACGATACAAATATTTTTATATCTAATGCAAGCGTGACAGAACTATATATGGAAGCCAATAACACTTTAGAAAAGCTTGCTAAATGGCTAACCCATAACAAATTAGTTCCCAATATAGCGAAAACAAACTACATAATTTTTGCCCCGAAAAACAAACTAATTTTAAGCACACCTCAGCTTTCGTTTGCAAGTATTAACCTAACTCGAGTGTACCATACTAAATTTTTAGGACTAACACTTGACCATCAGTTAACATGGCACCAACACGTAAAAGACACAACTAATAAGATATATCGAAATATTCCAATTCTATATAAACTACGGCACATATTTTCCTTACGAACCCTCCAAATGCTTTATCATAGCTTCATTCATACTCACATTTCGTACGGGTTATCCATTTATGGATTGACATATAAAACAACACTAAAACCCATAGAAATCGCCCAGAACACGGCACTACGAGCAATGCTGTTTGCTAATAGGCGCGAAAGTGCTCAATTTGCGTACCGCTTCCTCAACATTTTAACAGTTAATCAATGCCTCGATTATCGTGTAGCATTATTAACATTTAAGTTTATCACCAATCAAATAACATGCTCTTCAATTAGTTTTACTCATCAAGATGTCATGTATCCTCTGCGTTCACATTCACAAGCGTCACTGTCTGTACCATGGATACGAACTAATTATGGTGCGTTCACCTTCATTTATATTGCTACTAAAAAGTGGAACTCTCTACCACCCTGCCTAACTGCTATGTCATCATTCTATATCTTTAAACAAGCCATACGCGCCCACATACTATCTACATGATTCATCAACCATTTCTATGCCCCTCCCCCTCCCCCCCCCCCTCCTCCGATTCATTCTTCTCTCCTAGGCACACCTTTCACACAATCACAAACACACAAACACACACTGATATTGTCCTTTTTCCTCGACTTTCTAGCTTTTCTTCTCTCTATTTTTACTTGGTTTAATATTTTGATTATGTAGATACCACAAATGTGTTTCGTTTTTTTATTTTTTTTTATTTTTTATATAATGGTGTTAACTTGATCGCTGACTAACCCTTTATTACCAAGGGGTCCCTTCAACAGTTTTCTTTTGAAAACTTTGGGACCCCCGTCTGAATAAGTGTAATTATCTAACATCCTGTGTACAAATAAAAACACATTTTGACTTGACTTGACTTGACTATTTCTATTTATTTTGGATCTTGGAAACCTAAGAACACATGGAAACTAAATTACGGATCTCGGAAAATCAGTATTCTAACAAAATGAAATCTGTTTCGAAAAAAAAAAAAAACTCTGGAAATTACTTTTTTTTTTTTTAAATACTATTATGAAAAATGAACTGCGAGAGACGAAACCCGTCTCGTGCGTGCAACAGGATACTTGAGAATGGCGCCATCGGCGCCGTACATGTTAAGTGATCGACTCGGACAAACACTTAACTGTACAAACAGAGAATTTCCTTTTCTGTCTGTTTATGTTGGAATTGAATGCGGCTGGTGTACACAGAGTGATACTGAATAAAAATACAGCTTTAAACTATAGGGAGTATTCACTGGCGGCCATAGCTGTGCGCGCGAATGCTGAGCGCACGCTAATGGCGAGCTTCCCCAGTTCTTTTGCAACGTGCATTCCGCATAATCAAGAGTGCCGGTCTTAGCAGCCTATTGATGCGAGCTCGTTCTGACCATGCACTCTACACAGCAGCCACAAATATGGCGTTCAGTGAATACTTCCTGTAATCATATTTCTAGACCCATCTGTATTTTGAAAATACACGATATTTTCAAAATGTATTTTCGGGACCCATACTCATACCTTTTATTCCTGCGACCGATACCTGACAGAAGAGATTCCGATGTAACTAAAGATAATATCGAAGATACACGTATATTCGATACTGCCCAGCCCTGGTGTCAAATCACAGTGTCACGCGTTGCCGCGACGTCCAGGGACCTCAATTTACCCCCTAGATTTAGCGGGTGACTGCGTGGACGGTAGGATGACAAAACGTAGTGTCAATTTTAAGACCTCTTCCGTAATTTAAAATATCAATGTTGTGGTTGCGAGTGGCCCATTAGAAAGTTATTGAACGGGGGGGGGGGGGGGGCAACACTTGGGTCCCCTATTCCAAGACTATTGGATGTAGAGGGGCGCTGTGAACAAGCGTAGTGATGTGTGCGTGGCCACGATCCCTGAGCTGCGGGACGTGCTTCCTCCCAGGAGCGAGGCTTCCGAGACTGGCGGGGTCCCCCCTCCCCCGGCGCCCTCCCGCTACGAGCCGACGAGTTCGGACTGGGACGACTTCGACTACTTCTGTCAGAGCCCTTATCTGCTGTCTATGCCGGCCGAGGCGCCGCCCAGGGAGCGTTTCAAGCGCAGGCTCTTCCGGCGCTCCCACCGGGACAAGTACGGCCCTGACCAGGACCGCCCGCTCCAGAGGCACCAGGAGCCGCAGACCTCGGCTTCGGCAGACAGAGTCAGGTACGCCTGCGACCTGTTTGGAAGAACACCGCGACAACACAAAGTCCATCTTGCGAGGAAAATAAAAGAGTGCAGAATGAAGCGGGTACGAGTCAGAAGCGCAGGGTGGTAATAGCTAGATATAGTGCCAGTGGGATTATAAGGAGATAAAGAAAAGTCATACACACCGCTGAACTAGCGACTGTTTATGAAGATCATCGCTTTCTTTGTCTACATTCCGTTTCAGTTCCTCTTTTTTTATCTACATCTACATTACATTTAATTTCATTGAAGGACGTCTTCCTCAATGATCTGTACCTCGCAGAATGCGGACTTGCCAGCAATACCGTTGAAAAGATCCCACAGTTGAGGCTACCTTCAAATTTGTGGACGATTTTCTAATATTGTCTAACACCGACTTCAATTATCCGATTAACGTGTCCAAAAAGTAGTCATGCAACGTTTTGAACAAAGCTGCTCGCATCATGCCTTCACCCATGAACTATTTGTGAACACATTAGTTGAATTCCAGCATCTACTCTTGGAGTTCACACCAGCGGTAAAAGGTTCCTTACTTTCTGATGCACCTGTAAAGGACTGAGTGCGCGTTCATTATACGAGCGATGATATACTCGAGGTTAACTTAATGTCGTTACACTGTGAAAGTGCACCTGGTTCCTGTTTTATATTTCTGTACAACGATGAGTAGTACCCATGTAAGACTGGCAATTGGTATATTTCTAAATTACCCAAGCATCAAGGAGAATACAGGAATTGGTGTTCCACGCACCACACGCGTACGCCTTTCCCTTGAAAAAGATTCGAAGTAAATAACCAAAATAAAGCGTTGCCGAACGCGCGTGCAAAAAGAAACTTCTTTTAGGCATTTGCTTCGGAAAAGTTACTACTGCTGAGGCCAGTACGCGCAGCAGGTGGAACACCAATCCGTGCATTTTCCTTGATGCTTGGGTAATTTAGCAATTGGTTTATTAAATGTCAGTTCCGTTAAATGACATTTTAGCGATCGGCGAGTCAGCGCGCGGCACTCCAGGCGCAGCGCATTCCACGCGCGACCGATCGCGCGCTGATTGGCCGATCACTCAAATGTAATTCGATGGAACTAACATTTAATTGCTAGTCCGGCAAAGGTGCAAGCTGCTGTCAGCACGTATGTGCCTTCATTTAGTATTTATTTGGACGCACTCACGTCAGTGACCTTGACAGCGTTGTACAATAAATATGAAGCAAAGAATAGTTCACTGTACCTTGACACTAATGAAAGCTTTGCACGCGCATGTTTTACTTCGAAAATTCTTCAGCCTCCATAACGATCGATTAGCACTGTATGACACTCGTACAACAAGCTCTCAGAACGTTAAATTTAAATGTGGACGTAAGAAGCTTGCCCGTGCAGTCTTTTCGATTAACCCATGCAGTGGCGAGAAGCAGCATTGAACAACGCGCAGACGACGTAGCCTAAAGCCGCAGCCCTACTGCTCATGCTTGATACAAAGAACACGGTGATCGCTGCGCGCATGATGACAAAGTATCTGTGGACACTCATGCAGACATGGTGTAGACAGAACGACAAAGGAGCAGAAACCAATTCCTCGTAACAACCATTACAACCAGAATGCAAAACTAACAAACCGATTCAATGTTCAGAAGTTGCCTCAAGACGCGGCGCATAGAAGAGATTTTGAGACCGGAACGCGCGAACAAATGTGGTACGTGAAGAAAACCCGGCGGTGTGCTTTCGAGGAAAACAGCCAACTGCAAATGCAGGCGTCGCGTACCACAATCGCAAGTTCAGCTTTTGGAATCGCACTCGGCAACGTTTGAGATTATGGCTTTCCCGACCGCTCTCTTGAGCGCGTCGGGTATGGACCAACAGAGTCGATAAACCTAACTAAAATATTTTACTCTGCAAGGAACCACAGCTTCGGCATGGGCAGTCATGCGGAACTCGCAGTGCGGTCTCTTCACCGTCAGGCCGGTCGTTCTTCTATGTCTCGCGCAGGGCTGCCTCGAGCTCGGGTCCCTCGTCGTCCTTCTCTTCCTTTTTGAAGAATGTAGACACTTCAGAGCATGGTGTCTTGGAAGGCTCTGGTGGTCCTACAGGGACGCACCGCCACAAGATTAAGCGGGGTAGCGTTCATACTCACGACCCACCCTGCTGCTCCCGAGTCCCGAACTCGACGTCTGTCAGGGTCTCCCATAAGCGAGGGCCGAAAAGGCTCGAGGACTTTCGCTGTCTGTGGGCAGCTGGGCCCGCGACCCCCTCCGAGATCGGGCCTGCGATCTGAGTCAGCCGGATTGCCTCTTCCTCGTCCTCGTCCCACGCTGCTTCCTCAGGTCAAGTTCAGCGCTGCTTTGTCGGCTGCGCTCAGACTGCCCTTGCTCCTGTATTCAGGCGCCTACGAATTGAATATTCGATTGGACTCCGTCTGCTACCACAGCGAAAAAGGTGGCAGCACGAGGCACAAGTGTACGAGTTTCGGGGCCACTTGCGGAGCCCAGCGGGCCGGAAGCTAAACCTGGCTGGTCCGAGCGAAACTTCTTACCGTCGTATATCTTGCGCGGCTAGGCAGAAGAGCTTCACGACCCTCGCTGAACTCCTCCAACACAAGAGACACTCAATTTAGCTCTACTCGCGAGCATCCGATTAAAAACACGAATCCAAACAAATCAACGCGAGCAAAGAATCACTCAATTTCCTACGCAGCTTTGCAGTCAACGTCTCCCGCGACAAGATTGCGCGCGCTTTCCGCTGCATGACCCGGTGCTTCATGAATCGACGGTGAAAACCGTTAGAGCGGGAAAGGGGAGAGGCGACATCAACGCTGCGCACTTCTCCCCGTTGTTGAATTCGTAGACAACAACTTGAAGGAAAGTTAAAGTTCGCTGACGTTGCGGCCGCCTATCAGACTGCGCGTCAGTGCCACAGCTCGCGCCCCTGGTGGATCTCGGGGAGGTCGAATGGTTTCCGCTTGGTGGATGCCGGACCGCCGGACGTCCGCGCCAACCTCGCCTCGATGGCGCACGCAAGAAGTGTTAGCCGGTTCGCCGGCCGGAAACGTCATTCACCGCTTCAAAATGTTCATGCCAGTTATCTTCAGTCTCATGTCGGATGGATATTTTGGTACGGATAGAGGTCAAATCAGTTAGGTACTTGCCTTAAACTGAACTGTTTTTAACATTTGCTCCGATATTGTGACATTATTAGCGCCCTTTCTGTGTTTTATCTTTTTTTGTCGCCTTTTGGTGTGCTTAGTGCCACGCGTTCTCTAATGCCTGCCCTAAATATCGACATTTCAAGGAAAATCGTCGCAGAGAAATCGGGTTCATAGTACACATAGCAGAGCGCGTTGGATAAAGTACAGTTCACACTGAAAGAATAAAAACACAGAAAATACAGGAGGGACAGACACACACAGTTCTTTCAACGAGCAACTACATTTAAATGATGCCCATTACACTATGATGAACCACCTTGGATACGGAGAAAATTAAGTGAAGACGAAAATACTAGAAGGTACTAAAAAAAGATAAAGAAAAAGGTAAAGATGGCGGAATTTAACTTTCTGAAAAGGAAGAAGAAGAAGAAGAAACGGGAGATGTTTTCTATGACAATTCCGGCGCTAGGAAATCCTCACTGTCGATAACGACAGTGAGGGCTCGGAAACATTGTCTGTGGCAGTTTTGATCTTGAAGGCTTCGATGATCTCTCGCCCATACTTGTCTTTTTGTGAGCAAAGCACAGTAGTGTTTGCACAGCTAGGACAGCAATCTTGGCAGGTGCGGGCGTGGACGACAATCGGATGGTAGGAGTCGGATGACGCCTTGTTGGTTTCGAGAAAGTGTTCTCTAAGGCGAACGTTCAGGCATCGTCCCGTCTGGCCAATGCATTGACTGCCACAACTGAGCGGAATAGAATATATTGACTTCTCTTGGCATTTGACGTATTTGTTGACGTGTTTGAGGGTGCATTCTGGTGGACGACTTTCGTTATTTACCCTTTGGCACATTTGTTTTAGCTTCATCCGACATGTGAATACTACCTTCGTGTCGAAGCGGGCAACGAGACTCTTCAGGCGGTGGGAAGTATTATGCACATATGGAATACAAGCCGTGCGTGTGTCGCTGCGTCCATTGTTGTTAGATGATCGGCAGTTGGGCCCTGTAATGAGACGCTGAAGGGTAGTACGGAGGAGGTCTGCTGGATACCCGGCTCGGAGAAGCCGGTCATGCTGACGTTGGACGCTTGTTGATGAGAGATGGGAACAGGATTTTGAACGAGAAGAGGCAAACAGGGTTCGAATAATTCCAAGCTTGACCAATTTAGAGTGGCTGCTGCAGAAAGGGAGGACCGGTTTTTTGGAACGTTGTTGGAAAGTCCAGCATATGCCTTCGGGATGAAGATGAAGATCCAGATACTGGAGTCCCTCTTCTGTTGGTTCTTCACTCGTAAACCTAAGACCCGACGAGCAGGAATCGAATGCTTCACAAATGGCCCGGGAGGAAATGGAGGTCGGATGAATAACAAGATAGTCATCTACGTATCGAAACACTCGGCATTAGGGGGCGAAAACATCCAGTCTGGACTTAACTGGTCGGTCTACGTACATGAGAAACACTTCACTGAGTATTGGGGCTAGGCAGGAGCCTATACAAACACCCTTCTCTTGTCTTAATATGTTGCCGTTGTATTCAACGAGAGCTGACTGAAGGTATAAGGCAAGGAGATCTTTGAAATCCTTAACTGTGATCCCTGAGGTATTTTGAAACTTACAGAGACCATGTTCATGGATCGCATCAGACACGGAATTCAAGAGAATCCGGGGGTCTAGGCTGTAGTAAAGCTCTTCTATGTCTAAAGAAAACATGGAGAGTGGCTGGGTGGTGGAGTGTAGGGAGGTAAGGTGCGAGATAAGATCTGTGGAGTTTGAAATCCTAAAGGGCTGGAGGAGCGTCACCGTGGAGAGATGTTTTTGTAGGAATATGGCCAAGGGGTTTCTGCC